GAAAGAGTTAAGTGCCTTGTTTTCCCCAGCACACACAAGGTGTGCTTTACTCAGCCCAGAGCTGTGCAGAGCTCCTCTGCCAACCATCCTGGCCTAAAAAACCCTCTTCAGTCCTCTAATCATCCCCTCCAGCATGTGCCCCATTATCACTTATTCTTTACAAACCAGAGCTAACAGCAAAACTGATTACTGCAAGAAATCTGTCTCCTGGAACAAAAAGTGATTCAGAGTATCTGACTTAAAAGAAAGGAGAGAAGATTAAAGGGATACTGTTATGGTTAATATCTTTAAAAATGTTTAATTTGTCTTCCTTCATGGAAGCTTAAAATTGAAACTGCTTTCCAAATCAAATTTATTTTCCCATTTACACAAAATTTTCTGGCTGTGCTTGAGACCTTTTTATTCACCTCTCAACTGCCTACAGGAACCACAGCTACACTAAGTTATTGCACTATACATGACATTTATTCGGATGCACCTTTAATTCCATAAAAACAATTCCCTTTTTCCAGTCAATGGCATAGCTCTGTGAGGCTCATAAAAAAACAACACACCCAATAATATAAGGCTCCATGTGGTTTTGTACTTTCTTTTTAAAGCCTATACCACAGTAACATGCACATTCCTGCCCAAATTCACTGACCTCTATTCCCATTCCCACCAGCCAACCAAGAAAAACCCAAATGAGAAACCTCCTTCTCCACGTCCAACGAGCCTCCAGGCTTTGGCACAGTTCCTGGAGTATTTCTGCACCTCCAGAGCAAAGTAGGTTAATAAGGTCTCTGGTCACATCCTCTCACCAGATCCCTCGTTTCCTGCAATAACCACCCCCAGCACCTGCACCATCAGCTTTCCCTTGCACCTCTCCCCTCCCACACGCCTGGGGGGCCGAGGACAAACCAAACCAACAAAAACCAGTGACTGAGCTCCTTTTGCCTCATCTCTCCAGTGAAGTCCCACAGCAATCCCAGTGAAGCAGCACTGCACTCACAGTGATCAATGCCTCCACACTTCACCCTCCAGGTGACACCTGTCCTGTCTCACCGCTCCAGCGCATTTGGATCTTTGGCAGCACATGAGAAAAACAGAAGTGTGTTCAAACCAAAGTCTGCAGCAAATATCTGAAAGGCAGTAAATACACACTGCTAAACTTCTGCAATTCTTTTTTCTATGCAAAGATTTCTGTGAACAACCCTGCACAGTCATCCCTTCTTCAAATTACTGCAGGAACAGAAGGGACATGTCGAAACACAAGTGTGAAATAAATTAGGAAGTCTGGAAGATGCTCTAGGGTTATGAGATATTTTTGGAACCGGAAAGAAGTGCTTTTTATTTTAGTCCATGCGAATGAAGATTTAAGACCCACAACCTTGCAAAAAAGAAGGGAAAAAAAAGGAAACAAAATCAGGCTTCTATTTATTAACAGAGAGTTTAAAGACACATCAGTCTCCCATTACCATGGACCAGTGAAGTGAATGATCCTCTGTCACATACCATCAAGTCTCGCAGTGCTATAAAAATTCCACCTATTTCCTTGACAGTCTCAATTACACCGGAGCCATAACCACTCCTTTTGAATAGATTCAAAAGGCAATTTCAGAACTATGAAGACATTAGAGCGACACAGTAAAGTGGAGAGGTGAACAGCACCTTGGAATGAAGAGCCTGCTGAGAGCGATAGGAGAGGTCTGAAATTCTCTCCTGTCTGCAGCATGTGGAACCAATGCATTTCCGTGAGAGGTCCTTTGGCCACTACTCAAATGTCTGGAATACTGTAAAATCTGCAGAATCTGGTGCCAGGGCCCAGGGAACTGCAGCCTGTGCTCAGCAGGGCAGGACAGCCTCAGTGACCCTGAGCCCTCTCACCCACACAGGTCATCTGAGAGAACTCTAAACTATTACAAGATCCTCAAGGAAAGTGTGTTTCTCCCTCCTTCCTCCCAACAAAACCCAGCCTGAATTGCTATAAACCAAACTGGCATCCCACAACGTTTTGGTTTCACAGCTCCATCCACAGAAACAACAAGGCCTGACCTGCAGGCTCCTGTCCAACCTCCTCTTGCTCTGGATTTAGTTTTAAGTGATCTCCATGAACTGACCCAAAAAGCCTAATAAATGTCTGAGTCTGCCAAAAACCTTGTGATAACAGATGGAATCACTACCATGGGTGCAATTCCAGGGGAATGAAATTAATGGCTCTAAAACACTTCAACCCAAAGTTTAAACAATAGTTCAGGAGGAAATAAAAATTACAGAAGGATTCCCTTTACTGGGTCATATGATAGATGACAAAAGCTCCTCGGTTACAGCTGTGGGAGTGACGATACATACATTTAATATTCAAATTACCAAACACCTGTCAGTTCTCAGTGTTTTAGAGGAGGTTTCAGACAAGTAAACAGTAGCTTAAAAATGGTGAGGTGCCATGCCCGAGACAGAGATCAGAGAAACAGCCACAAGTAGGTCAAAGCTGGTCCCGATTCTGTCAACATTCACCTACTTTTCTTCCGCTGCTTCAGGAAACAATAAGCAATCCAAACCCACAGCACATAAATGCTCTGCTCCTTGGTCAGAGGCTGACAGAGCCTGCTCAGCTCGGGGCTGGGGAGATGTCTGCCCTGCTGGTAACCGTGGATGTCCTTAATCCTGACTTCTCACATGCAACAACGAGCACTGAAACAGAAAAGCACTCTGGTACCTTGAGGTGTCTGTAATAGTGGAGAAAACAAATAAAAGGCACTTTCCACATCATAATTAAAACCTGCCTTTGGCTGAGCTGTTAGGTAGGACTCTTACTCTCCTCAATTAAACCAGGTGAGCCCCGGGAAAACAGACATTTGTGAGGTATTTCTGCCCCTCAGTGCTGTGCAGGACAAGCTCTGCCAGCACAGCCGTGCACAGAGCCTGGCAGCACACAGGGCCTGGGCTACTCCTGCTTCAGCCACCGACCCAGAAGGATTCCCCAGCACACACAGGCACTCCCTCTCCACAAAGAGTCCACACCCACACGGAGGAGATCAACTCCTTGCTCTGCCAAATCAGAAATGGCAGCTTTGAGTGGCTTTGAGATTTAAGCCTGGCCAGGATTCCAAGTGTTCGTTCCACGTTCCTCTGCTGCAGCCCACGAGGTGAACACCCACTGGACACGCAGCACAGGACAGCACAGCTAGGCAGGACACTGTCCTTTGAGTTAACAGCACTCATTAGGTGGGAGCTTCTGCCCCCAACAATTTGAATTTAGACCTAAAACTAAACTAGATGCTAGTCTTTACCAACTGCAGCTATTTCACTTTAAGAGCTGGGTATTGTTTTATACAACCCTTGGCTGGTTCTGACTTTGGTGGTTTTTTGTTTATTTGCATATGTTGAACAAGAGGAAAACATAAACCACTAAAGCCACTGTCCTTCACCTGCACATCATGGTAACAGCAGCAGCTTCAAGCACTGCCTCAGAGGACATGTGCCCTTAACAAAACCATGGGCAGATCTTCATTTTCCAAGACCTCACTGTCAGCCCAGGCCTGTTCCCGTGTGTCCTCGCAATGGAAACAGCAGTCGTGGGGGCAGCTCTTGCACTGAGGACTGTCGTCACGTTATTATTTCCATGCGTACACCAATTGTCCAGAGCAGGTTTTGCCTCTCAAGCCCTTCCCCCACGGCGGCTGGTGGGGCCGCGGCGTCACCTCGGGCACTCTGCATTATGCACATTAATTTGATGAGTATCAGGGCTTTCCATGACCTGTTTGATCCACATCCCTTCCCTCAGCCAGAACAGTAGAAAAAGAATCATTTTGCTTCACCAACACCCCCACAAGGTACAAACCAACACCAGCAGGTCTGGTCTAGAGGCTTCAAACCCATGGGGGGAGAACACAGCAGAGCCAGAGAGCACTGAGGGGTTCAGAGTCTCTTCCTCATTTTACCAAACACCAGCAGCCAGGAGTGGATAAAATTAACGCAGACGGATTGCAGGCAGTCTGGGAATAACTGATCCGTCCTCTTCCCTGTCCCCAGAAGTACAGGAAATCCTCCCCCAGAAGTGCTCTGAACGGGCCACCAGGACTCAGAGAAACGCCCAGGAGAAGTGATAGTGCCAGACGAGAACAGCCTGCAGAACAATGCTCGTTCCCTCGCTGCGCAGTCTCTGGGGAAGCTTTCAAAGCCTCATCCAGGCTGCCAAGGCCCTCAGTGGGGAGGCAGGAGGAACCCAAACAGGCACTCGGGTACAAGGCACAGACACACCCTGGTGCTCCAAGTCAGTGACCTGTGAGCTCTACTCCAGACAGGAGTGCCCTGCACTAATCCAAGGATTCAAAATGGACTGTGAGAGAACTTTGCACTTCCTGTAATATACCTTAATCCATTAATTAGGAACCAAAGGAGCCAAATAAAATGGTTTTCAGTCAGTCTCTGCTGCCAGGCCTGGCCAGCACACACCTCAGTGCTGCTGGCGCCGGGATAACGGAGACAAACTGCCATGAACCAGGAACAGGTTTGGGATCAGAGTCTGGAATAGCACCATTCCAAAACAACAAGGAAACTAAAACAGCAGTTTCTTCAGCGAGTAATTTTTCCCTTGGTTTTTTTACCTATTAAAATGTATTTGCATATGAAAGAGAATGGGGAAAGGAAAATCCTTCTCTAGAGTCCAAGGATTCCTACAGTTCCCAGTATATTTTACTTTCCCACAAAATTTCCTGTAGGAGTTCCTGAACAGCAAGCTCTGATTTTGTCCTTTTTTGTTTTCAAATTACACAAACACCAACATACCACGCTCTGGGAAAACGAAAGAAGACAAGATGTATTCTACAAAGTGATTCTGCTATGACCAACAGCATAAAGAGAATAAACATTCCACTCACACACAAATGCTTCCAAGCCTTTATAGAAAGACACCACATCAGGAAATTAAAGAATGATACCACCAGGACACATGATGGTGCCACAGCCCTCAAGATTAAAGCTCCAACCCTTACTAAGCACTTTTGAGGACTGTACACAGCCACTGTCCAGACAGACGGAGCCATGGAGGCTGTTCACACCAAAGCTGATCCCAGTCCCACAACAGGAGAAGCAGCTTTTAGTACTGAAATGAAGCCCAGACCATTCTGGAGGGTTTGGAGCATGAGCAGCCTTTGGCACCCGTGGCTGTTGGTTTGGTCTCCCGTCCCCATCCAAGCTGTATCTGCTGCTGGACCACAGTGCTGTACTGCACCACGTGCTGTGCACTCACACATGGCACACCTGAGTTCAGCTGAACACAACTCTCACTTTTTCCACGATTACTGAAACCCCTGTAGGCAATTTGTAGCAAAATTAGGGAACTCAGGACACAGAGCACTGTGCTGACACTTTCACTCATCAAGGCTCTCAGTGGCCTCTGCAGGATAAAATAAATCTTAAAAGTATCAGTATCTCAACAATTTTAGGGCATTTCTGACCATGATTCCCCCAAGAGACTCAGTCCCGTGCCCTGTGTGCTGGGATCACCAGTACGACCCGTTCTGCACCCACAGGCCAAGCTGAACCCATCCATGGGCCCTTTTCCAGGCTCCTCCTACAATGCACTTTGGATGGAGCTCCAGTGGTTTCACAGAGAAGCAGTATTTATGTTCTACAATTTGCCCCTCATCTCTATAAGCAGGTTGCCTTGGTTTGCACTTGCTGTTGTAAGCTGCACTTCACACCCAGCACCACAGGCAATACTGGAAGATGAGGAAAAGGACACTTACAACACA